ACTTTTAGTTAGCGGGTCCGCAATATTCTCTTTTGATTTCACATAATCTATAGAGATAATATCAGTAGAGAACAATTCTCTAACGGTGTTGTACCATTGTATATAGCATTTTGTGCCCTACCAATTGCTAGTTGACTATCGCAATTGATACATATAACAGGCACATGTTTCGTCCACCATGAAATATCTTTTAGAAAGTTTTGTAGCCATTTGACTTCTTTCCAACTTTGTCTAACGCAATGTATTCATATTCCATTGTTGATCTAGCTATATAAATTTATTTTGAAGATTTTCATGATACTGTAGCACCTCCAAGTGCGAGGACATATTCACTTGTCGACTTGGAGTCTATAATATCTGATATCCAATTTACATCACCGTGTCCTTCAAGTACTCCTGGATATCTCAAACAGTAAAATCCAAAGTTTTTAGTATTATTAAATACCCTAAAACTATAACAATTGCTTTCCAGCGCTCAATGCTCATATTGCTCATATATTAACTCAGCCTACTAACTGAAATTGAAAAAGCAATATCAGGTCGAGTGTAGTTTATGACATACATTAAACTGCCAATAATACGAGAGTATTCCAATTGAGACCTACTATCACCATTATGGGAAGCAAGATGCATACTAGTATCTATAGGTGTTTTCATAGGAATAATATCATATTTCTTGAATTTATCAAAAATCTTCTCAATATAGTGTGATTGAGATAATATGAGGCCATCGGATGATCTTGAAATTGTAATTTCTAATATAACATTAGCCACATCTAAATTCTTCATTTCAAATTTACTTGTTAGCATCCTTTTAGTAGCTTGAATTATGATATCATTGTTACTCATAATCAATATGTCATCTACGTATAAACATACCATGACATCTATTTTAAGTGCTCTTGACATAAACACATTTATCACACTCGTTAATTTTGAAGCCATTTAACATCATAACTATGTCAAATTTTTCATGCCATTTCTTACGAGCATGCTTTAATTCATAAAGTGATTTAACAAGTCGGCACACTTTCTGTTCTTGTCCTGAGCTCACAAATCTTTCAGGTTGCTCCATATAAATTTCATCTAATTCACTATTCAAGAAAACTGTTTTAGCGTCTATTTGATGTATATCCAAACTATTCAGTGTTGCTATCGTAATAAGCATACGTATGGAAGTAATTCTTGTCACAGAAGAACATGTATTCTAGACCTTCCTTTTGCTTGTAGCCTTTAGCGACAAGTCTAGCTTTATATTTGTCAATTGATCTATCTACTTTCATTTTCCTCTTGAAAATTCATTTACACCCCAATAGTTTATTGCTGGGAGGAAGAGTATGGATTTATATTCAATTTCACTATGAACTTCTTTCCAATAAGAAGCTTCGGTCGATGACATAGCCTCTTTATAACTTTGAGGTTCATTTTTTAACAAATATGTTAGAAAGTCAGGCCCAAAGGAGGTTGACGTCCTAGTCCTCTTACTGCGTCTAGATTGTTCATTTATAGATTTTTGATCTATAACTTCTTCATTTTCACGAGATTTCTTTTACGAATTTGATTCACTTTGCATGTTATAAGGAAAAAATATTTTCGAAAAATGTAGCATCCCTCGATCAATAATCGGGTATTTTAGATTTATATATAATAAATTTGTACGCACTACAATGGTAGGCATAACCAATGAATACACAATTAATGGTTTTAGATCATATCTTAACCTTTTTAGGTTTAGGAACTGCTACCTTAGTCAAACATCTTCATGCCTTCAAATATTTATAGTTATGTTTTTGGCCTTTCCATACTTCATAAAGTATTTTATGCGTTTTTCGATATGATAATTTGTTAAGAATATAATTGGCTGAAAGCAAAGCTTTCCCCACAAGTTTTGGGATAATTCAGAACTTATTAATATAGTATTCATCATATCCTTTAATGGTCGATTCTTACATTCAGCAATACCATTAAATTGAGGAGAATAAGACGCGGCAGTTTGATAAATAATTTCGTGTTTCAAGCAAAATTGTTCAAATGGAGAATCATATTCACCACCTCTATCACTTCTTATAGCCTTAATCTTTTTACTAAGTTGATTTTCAACTTCTAACTTGTAGTGCTTAAACACTTCAATTACTTCATTTTTGCTTTTGAGTAAATACACATAGTAATATCGAGTACAATCATCAATAAAAGTTATAAGGTACTTATTACCACCTATAGTTTGAAAAAACTTTAAATCACATATATCAGTATGAATTAAATTTAGGGGTTCGGTACTTCTTTCAATAGAACGAAAGAGTAAACGTGCCATTTTGACTTCTACACATATATCACATTTATGACTGAGATCTAAATCGCACTTTGGTAATAAATCCAATTTGATTAATCTACGCAAAATATTATAGTTTACATGTCCTAATCGTTCATGCTAAATATTTAAACGACTCAACAAGTAAGAAGAAGATATAATTTTATTCATAATAGGAGGTGCAACGGTTATTACATTCAACTTAAAGAGCCCCTCATTTAGATAGCCCTTTCCTACAAACATATCATTATTTGTAAGTACAAATTTGTCTAAAACAAAAACTAGCTTCAACCCGTTCTTACTTAATAGGGAACCAGATACCAAATTCTTTTGAATATCAGGCATATGAAGAATGTCATTCAAAGTGAGCTCCTTTCCACTCGTCATTTTCAACACTATCTTTCCATATCTTTCAACCTTGGAAGAAGAAGAGTTTCCATATAGAGTTGTTCATCATGATCCATTACTTTGTAGGTAGAGAACACCATTCCTTAGTGTTTCCAACTAAGTTGCATTCAGAGACGACTATAGAAAGATTTATGTCTTGTACCTTATCAGAAACGTTTTCATGTTCTGTTACATTGGCCTGATGAATTTATCCCTTGACATTCTTTGGCTTTCGACAGTCCTTGGATCGATGCCCTACCTTACCGCAATTGTAACAGTTGCATTTGAACTTTTAGCAGTTTTTAAAGAATCAGTTTGCCCTCGTCTTGCTATCAACCATTTTGTAATTTAGAAAACGACCGACATGAATTTCTTCGTGTCGGCATCTTCAGTTTTGTACTTGGTGTCCAAAGATTTTCATAGTTCTTTTGTAGATTTTGCATTGCAGTACACATTATATAATGTGTTGTCCAATTCGTTCAGTACGTAATTTCTGCATAAAAAATCGAAATGCTTCAATGCATCAACCGCATCCAATTTTTCAATACCACTTTCTTTCTCGGTGTATGAATATGCATCTTCTTTAACTTTTTTTTTAAACTTAATGTTGTTAGATAAAAAAACACTTTCTATTGCCAACGCTTAAAATCTAACCCATTAAATTTTTCTGATTTTTCTTTGGTCGTATTCAGGAGCGTAGTACCGGAAGTTGCCATTTCTGAAACACAATCAGAAGATAATCAATAAGGAATTGAAATAGAATAAACCAGAATAAAAATTCGTTTTAAGATTGTTTTTTCTGGAGTATAAGTTTTTCCTTCGAACAATCTGATAGAATTACCTTAACGTAATTTGTGCTACGTAACAATATGATCAATTGAATCAAAAAAATCATTTCGAGCCCACCGACTTCACGATATTTTCTTAAAACGAATTTGTTGCATTCAAAGATGCAAAAGACGTTTAACAATCGTTTTTCAGGATAGAACGTATTTCATCTCCTACGAAAGCAATATAGTAATCTGCAGGAGTTCCAACTAATTCAATGTAAGTGTTTTTTACTTCAAAAATAATATTAGAACGAGGGAGAGAGAGACTGAGATTCAAAGCAAACAACGTTTGCAATGAAAATGGTATTATTATTCTGACAGCGGGGCAGATTATTTATAAACTCATTTGTAGCCATTCGAAGATCTTTCAAAACAGTCGTTAGTATTCAGACGACTCGAACAGACAACTTAGTTTACGGTCGACCACTTAGTCGGTTAAATAGTTGACAGTTTAGTCGGTTAACAAACGACTGTTTAGTCGGTTAACAGACCATTCAGACCAAAAAATTACCCGAAAATAATCCAATAAAAATAAATTTTATTAGGTACCTAAGAATTTGATTACTTATAATTTGGCCCCCAAAATTTAAATAATTTTTTTTTCAAAAAGTTAATATAGTACAATAATACACTTGTACCAGCACACAAACCGGACCGACAGCGGCAGCGCGCGTATGGGTTTATAACCGAACCCGATAAGATATAGGCTTCTCCTTTCAAAGATTATTGGTACACCTTGAGGCGTAAACCGAATTCCTAAACTTCTACCATATAAACAACACCAAAATTTTCTAACTTTCTTATGTAGAATAAGTGTTTAGCAAATCAAATTCTTCACTAATTCAAAGTTTCAAGGGGGTTACTTTGACATTAAATATTTCATTCAATTCTAAATGATTTTTGATAACTAAATATATCACATTAATCACCTCGTCGAGTAGAACACGATTATGTTAGGTTCCATTAAAATTAAGGTATGGATCCCACTAGAATTTGGGCTCGAAGTTGACCCATATCCCTATGAATAACCACTTTCCAACATTCTTGACATCCCATCTTTGTTTCTGTAGTCTTTTAGTGGACATTTTTGTTTTTCTTTATTCAAGACTACGGCAAAGTGAAATTTCTATATACAGATCATGTTTATTGGATATTATTACAATTTTCCTTGCTGTTATATATGTTGGCCTGTTCCTCTGTGTTTAATGTCAAGACTTAGGTATAATTTTCACTTTATACCTCTTCCCACTTTGAGAAGATAGCATAACAAGAAACTCGCTACTAAGAACTCGTTGTATTTGCCTAACAATGTGTGTTTGAAACAAAAGTTTGGCTTGATACGCATAGTTGTTTGATAAACTGATTTGTTTAGCAGCTTTAGCTTATACAAGTCTTAACCTTGTTCTTGTTAGTATCATTCAAATTAAGAAGGTGATTTTGTACTCAATATTGATTCATTCTTATGAAAAAATCAGGATTGAGAAATTGAAATTTCTGCATTCTACTGAACTCTGCCATACTGATCCAGTAAACACAGGTAATGTCAAATTCTGTTCATTGACCTAGTTCTCTTTTCTTTTGAAGTCATATAATGGTTGTAATTTTTGATTCAGGTATTGGACTGTAGCTCGTGGCTCAATTTTTTGACTGATAGCTGAGAAATAAGCATATTACGGGTTTTTTTCTAGAAGAGATACAGGGTGTGAAATGGCTGATGCAATTGTAGAATTTCTCTTGGTGAACTTGAAGGAGCTTCTACTTTACCATGTAGATCTGATTTCTGGAGTGAAGGATCAAGTCGAGTCTCTTCATAAGGAGCTTAGTTTGATGAAAGCGTTTCTCAAGGACTCCAGGGAGAAACGTAATGAATCAGAATATGTTAGGGAGTCGGTTAGACAAATCACCGCGGTTGCTTATAAGGCTGAGGATATCATCGACACATTTGTTGTCAATGAAGCATCTAAAAAGAGGAGAGGAGTGAAAAAAATGATCCCTGGATTTGGTAACAAAAATCTCCTTAATCTTGCGAAAGATATTGAATCCATAAAGACAACAGTGAAGGAGATTTATGATAAGAAAATGTGTGGAATTGAAAGCCTACAAAATGGAGAGCCTTCACGTAGAAGTGCGAGACAGAAAAGAGAGCCTTTTGTGGAGGATGAAAATGTTGTAGGCTTTGATGAGGAGGCTAGAACCATTATTGATCGCCTCACTGAAGGGTCAGAGCAGCTGGAAATTGTCTCAGTTGTTGGCATGGGTGGACTTGGTAAAACGACGTTGGCTAGAAAAGTTTATTCTGATCCCCGTATTGAATATCACTTCTATCTACGCGCATGGACATATGTTTCTCAAGAATACAGTAGAAGGGAAGTGTTTCTTGGCATTTTAGAGTCTCTAAATCTCAATTTCGACCAAATGTACAAAATGAGTGATGAAAAGTTGGCTGAGGAACTATGCAAACATTTGAGGAACAACAAATATCTCATTGTCATTGATGATGTGTGGACAAAAGAAGCTTGGGATGATCTTAGAAGAGCCTTCCCAAAAACTAAACTAGGGAGCAGGATATTGCTAACAAGCAGAAACACAGAGGTCGCTAAGCTTGCTGACCCTTATAGTCATCCTCATCATTTGCGTTTTCTGACTGAAGAAGAAAGTTGGGAGTTACTCTGCAGAAAGGTTTTTGGAAGAGGCAGCTGCCCTTCAGAGCTAGAGAACCTTGGAAAAATAATTGCCACGAAATGTTGTGGACTTCCTCTTGCAATTGTGGTTATCTCTGGGCTTCTTATAAAGAAAGATAAAAATCGTGATTGGTGGAGGAAGGTTGCTGAAAGTGTTAGTTCGTATGTTGCTAAAGACCCGAAGCAATGCATGGATGTGCTGGCACTAAGTTACAGACACTTACCAGAGCACTTGAAAATTTGCTTTCTCTATTTTGGAGTTTTTCCTGAAGACTATGAGATCCCTGTTTGGAAATTACTCAGATTATGGGCTGCAGAGGGATTTATACAAGAAACAGAACACGAAGATTTAGAGGATACTGCAGAAGATTATTTGGAGGATCTTGTTGATAGAAATTTAGTCTTAGTGGGGAAGAGGAGGGCTAATGGTCGAATTAAGACTTGTCGCATTCATGATATGCTGCGTGATTTGTGCCTGAGAGAAGGCAAGGATGACAAGTTTTTGCAGGTGATAAAATCCTCTGAACAAAATCCTTTTCTATCCACCCCATTCGAGAATGACTGTCGTCGGCTTTGTATCCATTCAAAGATTCTTGAATTCATTTCTTCAAAGCCTTCATATCCATATGTTCGCTCTTTCTTGTGTTTTGCTACAGAGGAAATGGATTTACCTCGGAGAGATACGTCATCCATATATGAAGCCTTTGAATTACTTAGAGTCTTGGATCTTAGACCCATCTGCTTTCCACTCTTCCCCAAAGAGTTAGATCACCTGGTTCACTTGAGGTTTATAGTCCTGTTTGGTCAATTTAAAAAGATCCCGTCACAAATTTCTTCCCTTTGGAATCTGCAAACACTCATTGTTAGAACAACATCTCGTGACCTCGACATTGAAGCGAATATTTGGAAAATGAAACAATTTAGACATCTTTATGTAACTGGCTTAAGTCGCTTAAGTGGGCCTCTTGCTCAAACTCGAAGGGACAACGAAGATCCTTTTGTGCGAAGTAATATTAAAACCATTTCTACTATTTTGCCTGATAGCTGCACAGAGAATGTATTGGCAAGAACTCCCGGTCTGAAGAAGCTTGGAATTCGCGGGAGGTTAGCTAAACTTATGGAGATAAGGGGAGGATCAAGTTTGTTCGATAATCTTTCAAAATTGGGCAAGCTTGAGACATTGAAGCTACTAAATGATACATATCCTGAACCTCCTGCCCATTGTGTAGTTCCAGGTCTTCCACAACATTACAAGTTTCCACCAAATTTGAAGAAACTAACTTTATCTGATACCTTGCTGGACTGGGGGCATATGTCGACGCTAGGAGTTCTGCCAAACCTTGAAGTGCTGAAATTAAAAGACAATGCTTTTGAGGGAAGTCACTGGAAGCCACTAGACGGGGGCTTTCGTCTGCTGAAGGTGTTGCAGATTGGAAAGACTAATTTGGTTCGTTGGGATGCATTAGGTCATCACTTCCCGAAACTTCAATCCGTGGTTCTTAAGCATTGTACAAGTCTTGTGGCAATTCCTTCTGGTTTAGGGGAAGTGTCTGTGCTCCAGAACATGGAACTATATTGGCCCACTAAAACTGCTGTGGTTTCTGCCAGAGTAATTCATCAGCAAAAGCTACAATTGCAGTCAAAGCAGCAACAAGTGAACAATTTGTTTAAGCTTGTCATCTATCCGCCAGACTGCTAGCGACTGCTTACATTACAGGTAAGCAAATGAACTCTTATTGTTATTCTTGTTTTCGAAGTTTGTCTACCTTTCTTGTTTCAGAAAACTCGTGGGAAAATTTCTTTACATTTTCTTTTCTACTAGTGGTGTTTACATTATGAAATCCTGCACTGATCAAGTAACAATAGTGGGAGATCTGGAATGAGTTAGAAATGACAGAAGTTTCTTTGGAAAAGTTTGCAAATTATTCTTTTCTGTCAAACTTTCCCCGCTTGCTACCAACCTGCCACATGATGTTGATATCCTAGATTTGCCAAGAATATCATTATTAATTTGTCATTCATGCTATGGAACTGGATTGAGTTGGTTTGAATAATAATGTTTTTTATGGAACTGGATTACTGGTGATCCCACTGGTTCAGCCTGATGAATCGGCTAGCAGAAAGAGTGGCTATCCAAACTTTCAATGCACAATATTTTAAGGGGAGAACGAAATACGAAAAACTTCTAATTTATGTGTAAGGTGTCACTTAGATTTATCATACGATGCAATTGTGCATTTTTCCATGATCTTTGTACAATTGGATACTACAAGAAGAAATGAAAAAATTGCGTGAACACCACGAGCAGAAAAGGTTCGTGAGAACTTAAATTTATTTTATTTGCTTTTGTTTGTGTTTTTCAGGTTGAGATTGTATCAGTACTCCTGAGGATTTCGGGGTGGTAGCTTACGTGTGAAAGACTACGAGGTTTCAATATATTTTCGTATTCTGAAAAAACAAAATGTCATTAATTGTTTTAATGTGTTGTGTGGAAAATTGTTGTGTGACGGAAATTAAATATTTCCAACAATTTTAGAATTTATTCTATGCATTGTATTTTATGATATTTATTTGTATGAATGAATTAAGGATTTCCAACAAAATTTGCTCAGAACACCTCTAACGTTGGTGTATTTGCCTGTTCAAATTGAGGCATTCAATTGACAGTATGGAAGACTCCCTGAATATTGCAATTTGAATTTTGAAATCATTCTTAAATATGACAATTGCATTTTTGTTGCTTTAGTTGTAAAGAGTACTTCGAAGGGGCAATTTGAAATGTTAAGAGATACATAGAAATGTATCGTGCTCTAGACCGTTCAAAGTATAAGTGTAAGAAATGTAGTGAAATATCTCAAAAATGTTGTATACACAATCTTGCTAAAATCGTTGTGATTTTATTTCGCTCGTATACGATAAAAAATTGATTATGCCTATTCTACCTTCTATCAAGGAAGACTTTTTCAATTTTTGCCTTGATTATGGCCTTGGAAACAAAGTAGTTTCCTTTCCTTCAATTTTTATTGAGTTATGCTACACAGACAGGGTTGGTAATAAGGTTTGGTGACATGTTGACATATGTTGATCACCAATTGGACAGTTTGAAAAAATGAAAAAACATCCAAACAAATGTTGACATCCATGCGTTTGTCATATCAACCTTGACCAAGTATCTTTACTGATTTTTATCCCAAAATGCACTATGCAAGCTCGGAAGTTAACTGCTGGGGCCTACATTCAAAGAAATGTACGGCCCATCTCATTAGTTAAGACATGACAGCCCATGACCAGCTCGACACGGTCTTGGGCTGGTCTTTTTGTCCCAGCCTGCTAGGACTGGCCCGTTCAATTTGAATTCTAGTGCATTGTACAACTTTTAAGTTTCCCTATACAAATATGGACCATGCTAATTGTACAATTTTTTTTATTATTTTTGACATTATTCCACGTGGCGGCACATGATTAGATAGTTTTTGAATTCAACACACTTTTCCGTCAAATACATTTTAAATTTGTAAAAGATGTCAAACTCTATATAATCCATAGAATGTACAAGAAGCATTATTGTAAAAATATATACACATCCATATATGTATGTGTAAAGAATAATGTTATCTATTAAGTCCTCGTTTGATTCGCATTCCTTTAAAAATATATTTTTCAACCACACATTTTTCAATAAAATAATATTACACATAAATTCAAAACTTTTTTTT